ATCACTGTTCACTAGAAACTACCACCCTGGGTATAACTAAACACCCCATTCAGTGAGAGGGAAGATAGTAGTGAAGGTGAGTATCTACCCTAGGAGATTTTAGAAGCTGAAGTGAGTACTCAGAAAACAAAATCCCTCACAAATGTAAATGATTCATACCTGAGATTACAAGTAAACTCACTTTACAAGGAGTGCTTGAAAAAAAAGATATCAGGAGTATAGTGGGAGACATGGGGACAAGAACAATCAACCCCTTCAATACATTAACTCATACAGAAAACCCCTTTATGTAGTAACTCTACAATGAAGAAAGAATCAGAAAATTCAAGCTTTCATATAATGCTAAATTAGGTACTGTTATTTAAACTCTGAGACACGTGTTTATCTTACATACTACCCCAGCTGATGATCAACATGGCTACCAGTCTATTCACCTAACTGCCTCAAACCACAGCAAAGAGAAAAACAGAATTAAACTGCTGGTGGATAACGGGTGAAATCAGACTATACTAGATAATACTAGGCACTGAGACAGGCCAATTCAAATTGGTTCACTGCAGAAGGCAAAACCTGATAGGGAGAAAAACGCTTTCTGTGTTTTCAGGCCATGATACACATTGATGATTTACCTCTTAATCTCATTTAGTCTGATCCTCATAAGAACATGTTTGAAGTAGTATTATATCCTTTCTGCAAAGGAGAAAATGAAAGTACAAAAATTAAGATAACTAAACCAAGTCACATAAGTAGGAAACATTAGGATCAAGATTTGAACTGAGTTCAGTGCAACAAAAAATGGCATTTGCCTCAATCTCCCCTTAAAATGCTTCCAGTCCTGAAAAAGAAAGCCTAAGAGGTGAATTTAGAACGTACCTCATCCATATAAGCCTCCAAAGGATAATAAAATCTAAAACGGTATCATCACAGCAGCAGCCAAAGAACTCTAAGAGATGTCACAGAATTATAAAACTAGTAAAATATCAACCAGAAGATTGAAAAGTAAAAGGTCAAAATTAACTTTCAGGAAATCAAGTTTCAACCAGGAAATCAGTATCATTTTCCTATAACTTTCTAAAATCTACTCATAATACATTACTATTTATTTTCTTGATAACTGAGAAATCTGTACTAGTTCATAGCCCAACTCTTCAGAGTAGAAGGTGTAAAACAGACCAAATGCACATATAACGCATACAGATCTGTATCAAATATGCTGACCCTAGGACGTAGCGCAGACGTTATTTAAAATTATTATTTGAATTAAATCATAAAATCCCAGTACCTTAAAACATTTGACTGTATAACAAAAAACAAAAAACAGATAGTCTATCTAACCCCATCATTTTACAACTGAATAAAAAGCTGCCCAAAGAGCTTCTCTGTTAAAAAAACAGAGAGGCAAAATCCAGTGCAGAGAGAGTAAAAAAGGAGAAGGAATATACTTCCTGAAGTTTCTAGATTTCCAATAACTATACACTCAAACTAAATATGACTTAAAAATAGCCAGTACAGAAGTGATATAAAATCTATCACTAGAAGACGACAGATACATACAATATGCTAGACAGACCCTCACTACAGCTGCATTCTTGAAATCTATTTCTAGACTCTATACAAGAATTTTATAGCAAATGCAAACTATATCCACGTAGGTGCATGGCACTTGTCTTTCTCAAAAATGACTGAAACAGAAATTCATTCTCTTTTGGGGAAATTGTACATATAAGTCCTCAAGTCTTTGCTTCGCCATAACTCATTTGAGCCTTAAGATGTCAAGTCATTGTCCTTACTTTCCATGTGAATAAATTTTTTCTGCCTGCTGATCAGCACAGGAATCCTTCCCTTATTCTAAAGTTTATCATACTTATATCAGTGCTATAAGTAATATTGTTCAAATATCTTGCTACTTGGTGTAAAACAGCAAGTTCATCTTGTGGCATTCGAGATGCAACTAATATTCCAAATAAGAGGAAATTTTCCCATAAGACCACCTAAAGGACAAAAATTAAAAATGAACCATAACAGCAGAAACTTGTATAAGCATTATATCCTTATAGTTCTATCAAGGACGAAGAAGCTATGTGACTGAACTATACAAAGACAATGCTGCCATCTAAAGGCCAAGATATAATATGAACAGATGTATACTTAGTCAAATCCTACCAGTGTATTAAAAAATAATCAACTTGACATTTTAAGTCAGCAAAGTTTATACTTTAAAACAAACACTATGCTATGGTCATTTTTAGATTATACAATAAAGCTCTAATACTCTTTTTTGAGAAGATTCAATTTATTAAAAGAATCAGCAAAATAATTTGGCTAATGATCAATATCTGTCAAAGCATAGGTTAAATTCTGTTGGCATACTTTCACACACAATGTTTTCTGTATAGGAGAACACATACCTCTATTAGTTGCTAATTTAAAATATTTGTTGTTAAATGACTAATACTTCTCAACATAAAAATATGTAAATTGCTTAAAATTGTAGCTTTGCAAGTAATTTAAATACTTCTTATTTCACAAATTTTAGAAATACAAAGTTCCTATGGGAGGTTAGTTGTCAATATCTCAATTATCCAATAAAGAATTCTAATTATTCTAAATTTTCCTTTCTAAGAACCTTAAATGGGGAGAACTGTATTGAACTGACCTTTAAGATTTAGCAAAATTACATCAAATTTCCAATGAAATCAAAATGTTTGATAAATAAAACTAAACACAGAACTAATTCCCTTAGCATTTAAGTATAACAACAATTTTTCAATGTACCACAATATTAGGGAAAAACTAATGTGAACATAACAAGAACCTTCAAAATATAAACAGTTGTTTTCTTTGGGAAACCATTGGCTAAAAATTTTTTAATGTGCTAATAAAAATGTTTCCCTGTGTTTACTCAAAAAGAAAACAAATATTAGTCAACAAATATCCATATAATTTGAAGAATAAAAAAAATTAAGTTGGATTACCATCCTTTATCTTGAATGTACAGTAGAAACCAACGGTTAGATAACAAATACAGTCATGATATAAAGACTACTAGGTTTTTCTTGTCTCCTGTGGGTCAGAATTTGTACTAGGCAATTTAAGGACATTATGTCATTTAATCCTCAAAACCACAACCTGCAAAAAGACAAATATCAATAACCTCATTTAAAATGAGGTTTAAAGAGCTTAAATAACTTTCCCAGGGTCACGATGAAAGCAAGTAGATAACAGGATTTAAAAATTTGCTCTCTGTGACCCAGAAGACATAATTCTCTCTAAAAGATCACACTGTCTCAAGAGTGATTATTATATTTATAATAAATGTAAAGAGAAATGTGAAATATTTTTACTATGTAATTTCAAGGAAAAATATTCTACATGGTATTCAAAGTGTTTATTTCTAATTCATGGTGTTTTAATTTTTCTAAGTAGATCATTTTTTAAAATAGCATTATCTAACTATAAGTGCTGATGCTTCAAGAGATCTTTCAAAATCTTAAGTTCATATATGAGATATATTTATCAAATTTTATAAACTAACTTCGAGGGCAAGAAAAAGAGCTCTTTATTTTTGAGATACAATTTAAAAAGCACATTTTCTTTGTGAATATGCTATACATTCAGGGCTACCCGGCCAGCATTTTCGAGTACAGTCGTGCATCACTTAATGAGGACGATATGTTCTGAGAAATGCATTGTTCAGTAATTTTTTCATACAAACATCAGAGTGTACTTATACAAACCTAGATAATAAAGCCCACTACACACCTGAGGTATATGGTATAGCCTATTACTCCTTGGCAACAAACCTGAACAGCATGTTATTGTACTGAATACTACAGGCAATTGTAACACAATGGTAAGTATTTGTGTATCTAAACATAGAAAAGGTAAAAATACAGTATTATAATCTTATGGAACCACTACTGCGTATGTGGTCCATCCATCAAAACATCATTATGTAGCACATGACAGTATACCATTTTTCAATGTTGACAACTCCTATTAGTGCCTCCCCAATGACAACTTTTTCTGTTAATTGTACTATGTACCTATCAAATCAAAATTAAATGGCTTGGGAATATAATTCAGCCATAAAAAGGAATAAAGCTCTGATACATGTTAACATGCATGAATCTTAAAAATATCATGCTAAATGAAAGAAGCCAGATACAAAAGACCACATATTGTGTGATTTCATTTATATGAAGTATCTAGAATAGGCAAATTCATGGAGACAAATAGTATATTAGCAGTAGCCAGGGGCTGGAGGAGGAGAGTAATGGGGAGTAGTAATAGCTAACAGGCACAGGATTCCTTTTGGGGGTAATGAAAATGTTCTAAAATTAGATATTGGTGATGACTGCACACAACTTTCTTGTGAAAACCAATGAATTGTATACTTCAAAAGGGTTAATTTTATGGTATGTGAATTAAATCTCAAGAAAAAATGGAATGACTTTAAATATATTAAATATAATACATTAAATGTGTATGAGTTATACACATATGTGCTTAAAATATAAAATCTATGTAATTACCAAGATTATCTGCGCTAATTTACTGAATCCCATTTTTCACCATATCAAGTAAAATGCTCTATTTCACAAGTGTACATTTTGCTAGACATTAAATAACTCTAACTATCTAGAAGTATTACAATCCCTAGGGGTATCAGAAGGAACTCCAACCACAGACTTACGGTTGGCAATTAAATTAGATTTTTCCAATTTACCAGCACTAGCTCACTGTCAGAATTTAGAAAAGACACATTAGCACATCCTGATGAGGAATTTTTACCATGCAAGTACCACATATAAGCACCTATTCAGTTATATGATCAATTTATAAAATCATTGTTTTGAGAGGATTTTTGCTTTTGATTAAACAGTATTTGCCTTTGAACCCAAAAAGAAAATAAGCAGAAGAAAATTTATAAACAAAATTTAAGGAATTCAAAGGTTAGGAATAAACTAAACAGCATGAGGATGATAACAAGTACTTACTAATTTGTTTTCCTGCATGTATATTCTTTGTAATTTCAGACAGCCCTTAGCTATGACGATCATGCCTTCATCTGAGATCTTATAACATTGGCCGAAATGAATATCTTTAAGTTCTCTGCATTTTGAGCCCAGCTGCAAACAAAGAAATCTGACTGAATGTTCAGAAAATCAAAAAGACAACATATTTCTAGTGAGACTGTCATATAATAACATACCAGAGTTCAATTATTTATAAATTACT